CTTAGCTGCTCGGGCCTAATTACAATAGTTTTGTAAAACTGAAACAGACACGACAAAAAAAATAAATCAATCAAATTAGGGGCAGCGCATACAGCAGAGAACCCCTTGGTTCCTACCTGGGCAGTGAATGAAGGACCAGTTATACTTGGCTTCACTGGGGCACATGCTGGAGTTCAGGGAGGGCTGGGGGCTGGCGGGCAGACCGGGCAGGGTGGATGGCGCCGGGACCAACGTCTGGAAGGGCCCTCGGTAGGAACCCTCGATGCACTGGCCTTTCCCCGTGTTGTTGGGGTCCGTGCACCAGCCGCAACCGGGCTGGTCCAAACACTGGCCGCATGTTCTGTAGCCGGAGCAGTTTTCAGCTGGAGCAAAACAATAACAGCACCACTTACAGTTACAACAGAGGTTTTAGGCCACTATGTCACATTTTAATTGGGGCCTGCCAGAGCAAAGCATAGGAGAGAACTGCAAAGGCTACGGCTTCCTTTCACCATTAACGCGGCTCGTAACCAACTGACACAGACTCAAAACAGAGATAACATTTTGTCTCCCCCTCTGTGTCTCACTCACACAACAGTTGTCAGAGAGGATTAATTACAATGGCAACAGAACACTGAGGAGGGCAGAAATGCAGGGAACTACAGAGGTGGCAGAACGCTCAGTTCCTACAGAGGAGGGCAGAGCTTCCTGTTGGAACTACAGATGCCACATTGGTTCAACATTTCCTACAGACATGTATGTTTAATAATATATTTACCACCAATGACAAAGAAATAAATAAATAATTTCACTTTTCTGCCAAATTCACTAACTGTATAATTGTAGTTAAGTAGTAAATTGTGTAAAATAAGCAGTATTTCAAAAGAGCAGAAGAAATCTTATATTTTTTTAACAATAACAATATTTGTTGTTAATCTGTTGCTAAGTGATGAGCGTGATTTCTGGTAACCAAGTGCCACGACGTAAACATGTGATATTTACAAAAGTAACAATCAGAAGGCTGTGCATTAACATTAGCACAAACATTGCTAATGCAGCTACTGCCCACATTAGTAGCAGCTACTGTCCATATTAGCATGACCTTTTCCCTAAAATAAGCTTTGGTAACACTTTATTTGAAGGGGGTTGAATAAGACTGTCATTATACTGTCATAAACATGACATAACACATGTCATGAACATGAATAAGCCTTCATGAATATTTATGACTGTAGTCATAAAGCGTTGT